TCAAGCCTCTAGATCGCCTTAATTACTAGTGGGGTAATCTAGCCTCTAACCTTATACACTAAAAGGTAGGGGCGAGTCATTCCACCATTCTCAATATATAGGGTAAGTTTCGGTCTAAACGAGAGCTTGGAAGAGCATCGATAGACTTTTGTCATACTCATCTCTAAATCCCTCTATCTAATTCCTATCGGGGTTTAGCTCGGGTCTAAAGCTTTTAGGAGCTTCCTTCGTGGTGTGTGCAACAATTAAAAGAAAAGACATACGACCCAATTCAAAAATAAACGTGTATCGAGAAAATAAATTACAAAAATTTAAATATATAAAAAAGAAAAAAATAATAAATAAAATTTAGAAAATAAAAATGACAAAAATAAATATAGGAGATAAATTAAAAACTAAACCTATGGCCTAACTCTATTCCTTAGTGGAGTCGCCATTCCGTTGGGTAGACGTCGGATGGGACTCCTAAAAAAATAAATAAATCTAAGAGTTAATAGGCATTTATAAGTTTATTTATAGAGTTTGGAGTTACACACCTAGAATTGAAGGAACTAAGAACCTAAAATAGGCACTGGTTTAGAGATTCTATGGCAAGGAGTTGGTTACACTTTTAGGAAGGTATTTAACCACCTAAAAGTTCCCTTTTCTAGAAAAAGGTACCATGTAGGGTTTAGTTCTAAATTCATCTCCTAAAAATCCATGTCAAATGATTTTCTAATTTTTAAACTCCTATATTTTTCAAAGTTAAATTAAATTTTTTAGTTTAGGCGTGGCATCGTATTGAAATGATCGTCGGTCCCATTCATCGGGTAAAATGTCGGTTCAAACATCGAATCCAATATAAGCCTTGACACAACCGATGTGTCGGAGGACATCCCGATCAAAAGGTGATTTTCGGTGACGTCGGTCCCTATCAAATAGGAGACTTCGTCGAAATTATTTATTTATTTTTTTAGTGGTGTCGGTCCCTACCAAGTAGGAGGCTTCATAAAAAATTTTAGATATTTTTTGGTGACGTTAGTCCCTATTAGATAGGAGACTTCGTCAAGGATTTTTATTTTTATTTTTTTCTAATCTAACAACACACGAAAGTAAATTCACATAAAAATTAAAATATCAACTTTAAAGTACTCGTAAATAAATAACTAAATAAAATATAACAAGAAAAAAAATAATTGGGAAAAAAAATCAAAATGTCGAAGAAATTAGTTTGTAGCCTAAACCTACTAACCTATTCCTTATGTTTTTCCTACCCCTTTTAGTTTTGTTTTTTTCTTTCTTTCTTTTTTCTTTTCTTTTTCTTTTTTTGTGAGAGACCGGTATGAGTCCAGCCTCTCTTCTCTTGTACTTTTTCTTTTTTTATATATATATATGGGAGAAGGGCCAAAACAGTCCGACCCTTTTTGTACTTTTTTTTTTTTGCATGTGGGGTAATCAATCCAGCCCCCTTTTATTCTTTTATTTACACCGACCGAGCTAGGCTAAAACCTAAAGACACGACCCAAACTTCCCTTTTTCGGATCAAACCCCTTCCTCCTACGGTTCGACTCTTTCTCTCTCATGTTCTTATTGTTCTTTATTTTCTCTCTCTAGTTCTTCAAGTTTTTCGAAATTAAAGACCCCATTTTGGATGAATGATCACTAACGAGATGATGTTTACGCTCTTGTTTCAACCACAAAAAAAAAAAAAAGGTTTCATTTTTTTTTCTTTTTTTCTTTTTTTGTGAGAGACTGGTATGAGTCCGACCTCTCTTCTCTTGCACTTTTCCTTATATATATATATATATATATATATATATATATATATGGGAGAAGGGCCAAAACGATCTAGCCCTTTTTGTACTTTTTTTTTTTTTTTGCATGTGGGGTAATCAATTCAGCCCCTTTTTATTCTTTTATTTACACCGACCAGTCGGGCTAAAACCTAAAGACACGACCCAAACTTCCCTCTTTCGGATCAAACCCCCTCCTACGAGTTCGACTCTTTCTCTCTCATGTTCTTGCTTGTTCTTCATTTTCTCTCTCTAGTTCTTCAAGTTTTTCAAAAATTAAAAACCCCATTTTGGATGAATGATCGCTAACGGATGATGTTTACGCTCTTGTTTCAACCACAAAAAAAAAAAAAAAAAAACTTAAACAAATATTTGGAGTTGCAAGCCATTAAATCAAAACTCAAAAAAGAGAAACAAAGAAAAAAAAAGAACAAACCTTGTGTGCTTTAGATTTGTGATTGTTGTTTTGAAAAGGTGTAAATTGAAACTCAAAAATGGTTTCACGAGGTTTAAAAGCTGTATGTTGATTTTGATATGCCCAAACGAGGTTTAAAACAAAAAACTTGGTTTTGCAATTGAAGTCGAATGAACTTCAACCCAAAAAACTTAAGAACATGAACCCGGGTAGGAAGAACAAAAGCCCGGCAAGTAAGAACGGTAGCAAGATTTCCCCGAAACATGCTAAACCGAAACGAAAGAATTTGACTCCAAATCTCACACAAAAGAGGTGAAGGAAAACATGAAGATAAAAGCTTAGCCACGGGAACCAACAAACAAAAAAGAAAATAGGGGTTGACAGATTATCAACTAAAACCTAGAACCCCCAAGAACACCAAGAACACAAACCCGGAAAAATCAACATTTGTCATTCCCAATTTTCAAATTTTATCTCTCAATTTCACTCTCTCTTCACTATAATTCCCCCTCCTCCTTTTTTTTTCTCATGAAATCAAACATGTTTTATAGCCAAAACTTCCTAGAATCAAATCTCAATCTCGAATTTTTTTTTGTCAAAATATTTCCTCTTTAATTCATGATTAATGCAAAATCAAAACAAAAAATTTGGTCATTGCTTGATTTTACGTTGGTACCGATTTTGGCCAAGAATCCATGATTAATGCAAAATCAAAACAGGAAATTTGTAGAGGATTTGGCGATTTCTCCTAAAGATTTTCGAAGAGAAATCATAATTGGAGCTCTCCATGCCGATCCTGTCGTTCACTCCGAAAGTCTAATTTGGTCCCTGTGAATTTCAATTGTCGGCAATCATGCCCTCCTCGTTGTGTAATTTCGGTCTTTATAAAGCGTAATCTTATCAATTGGGTCCCTGCAGGGTGCAACTTAGGTTCTAAAATTTTCAATTGGTTCGATTATACCCCTAATTACCTCAATTACACATTCCTTTAAATGCAATCACGCCCCTGAATGAATATTTTTGTGTTTTTTATCATTTTTCTTTTCTCTCTTTTTTTCTTTAATATATATATATATATATATATATATATATATATATATATATATATATATATATATATATATATATATATATATATATATATATGTTTTTTTTAGTAAACTTTAATTGAAATAAAACAAGGCATACATGAATAAAAATGAATGAATAAATAAATGAATAAAATAAAATAAAAAGGGTAAATTTTGGGTTATTACAAAATATATGTTAATTTTAAAATATAAAAAGATATATTATATAATCGTCAATTTGTGTGAAAAAAGTTATGATTGATTTTTTAAAATTTTAACACCCAATTAAATAATAAAAACATAAATTGATTGGTAAAAATGCAAAGGAAAAAAATGATTTTTTAAAATTTTAACACCCAATTAAATAAAAAAAGAACACAAATTGATGAAAAAAGTGAAGGAAAAAATCAAAGAAAACAAAAGGGCATGTGTAGTGCATTAGTTAGGAGATTAAAATTTTTATTTTAAAATTTTAAGGACAAAAATGAAACAACATGAAAATTACAATATATATATATATATATATATATATATATATATATATATATATATATATATATATAATTTATTTACTAAAATGCACCACTATAAACATTAAATGGACCGATATGTCTTTTTTTTTTTTAATAATGCAAAAGTATCTTATTTTAGTACTAAATTTTTTATTATAATATATGTACTTTTTTTTAATGTTAAATGGATTGATATTTTAAACTTTAGTAATAAATAATAAAGGACATAAATTGTTGATTCCTTTTAGCACCCAATTAATTGTTAGTTCCTTTAAAATTTGAACTGTAGTTATTAAAAAAGAAAAAAGAAAAAACAAATACATAAGCTGGGGATACTGTTCAAATAAACAGTAAATGGGGGGGGGGACCTTAGCCGCTGTTATTGTGCAAATGAATAGTGTAAAATTTCGATCGAACAACTTAAACAAAAAAAAAAGTATAAATCAATTATTTTGCACTGTTTGCGTCCATGGTAAAGATGAGTCTAAATGAACAATATAAAACACTATTACTTTTTCTTATCTGTTTTAGTTTTATAGTAAATAACGTATTGGCACATTATGTTCCTATATTTAGCTATATAATTTTCACAAGATGATTTTTCACGTACTGATAAACAATAAAAAAAAAAAAAAAAAAAACTACGCAATGATCTATTAGGAACCTGATTGCAAGAAGAATTTCATCTTAAGGACTAAATTATACTTTTAGGGAAAATATAATACCAAAAAACTTTAAAATAATGACCAATTTGTAAATAAGGATAAATATAGGGAGTAAATATAGTTTTTGAAAAAATTACAAAGACTAAAATAAAACTTTGTAAAAGCGTCCATTACTATTTTTTTTCCCTTTTTGATAATCATACTAGGTTTCTTTTATTATAACTTTTATTTTTTTATATTTGTGTTTTAGATTTAACATTATTTTCGAATCAGTTATGCATAATAAAATTAAGTTATATATATTCAAATTACATATTATGCATGTTGAGAATAATATATAGGTATATGAAAAAAAAAAAACATTAAATCTCATCTTATTTGGAATTGAACCTTAATTAACAGGGTTAAAAACATATCAATTTGTCAACTAGAATGACGAGCATCAGAAAATGTTTGGGATTTTGGCCGGATTTCCACGGGTAGGAACTAAGAAAATGCCAAGGACCAAACTGTATAATTTTGAGTATCAGAAAATAATAAGCAATTCGTGAAGAAACGATGGATAAATGGTTGGCTCCTTGAGGTTTGTTTTAGTTCACGTAGAAAGGATGTTTTGATTGTTGAGGTTTTTTTTTTTTTTTTCCTTTTTCTGGCACCCTTCAAGTTCCAAACCTTTTGGAAGCTGGATGTTTTTTTTTTCCTTCTATTAATAATATTTTTTGCTTGCAAAAAATTAAACTTTCTTACTGTTTGTTTAATCATTTAACCTTTAACAATCCCATAAGGGTTAGCCCAAGTTAGTATGATTGACAAATATAGGATACTTGGATTTCCTAGTTCAAATCCTATTCTTAGATAATTTGTGAGTTTTCAACTCTTATAAGCGCCTTTATTACATGTGTTTTTCCCAAAAAAAAAAAAAAAAAAAAAAATTTCCCTACTTCAAGCTGAACTTCCTTTTAACAATTGCTTATTTGAAGCAGAACCTTTTAACAATTTCTTCAAGCGGAACTTCCCTTAAAGATAAAGCTCAGAATCTAGCAACAACAAAGATGTAATTAAAGTGGAAACACTCATGATGGTTAGTTTCTTCTTTATTATTACTTTTCATTTTCAATAATCTATGAACGATACTACGACTACTTTCTTTCTTTCTTTCTTTTATTACCTCTGAGCCATAGTAGTCTATCCATCATTTTCTTATATTTTCATTTTTGTACATTCTTGACTGTACATGATGGATCCTGCCTTGTACAGAGCTGCAGCAGAAGGCAACATTGATCCATTCGAGAATTATCAAACTTGTCTTAATCAGCTCATGACTCCAAACCAAAATTCAATTCTTCATGTTTATTTAGAAAGCCAAAGTAAAGAACCGGAATTCACTGATTTTGTTGACCTAATTCTTGAAATGCGTCCAGAATTGCTGTTGCAAGTCAATGTAGAAGGAGAAACGCCATTACATTTCGCAGCAAGATATGGGCATGCCAACGTAGTGAAAGTTCTTATTGACCGTGGGAAAGCTCTACCTATAGATCCAGAGAGCGGGCTAACTGAAGCACAGAAGATGATGAGAATGACAAACGTAGAGAAAGATACAGTGTTGCATGTGGCAGCTCGAAATAGCCGTAGCAATGTTGTGGAAATATTGACCAAAGAGGACCCAGAGTTTTCATATTCCGCCAATGATTATGGAGAAACTCCACTGTACATCGCTGCTTCTGTAGGCTCTCCGATGGTGACCGAACAAATCTTAATAAATTGCTCGTCGGTGGACTATGGTGGCCCCTTAGGTAGAACTGCACTGCATGCCGCAGCCATAGCCGGAGATTATGGTAGGATCATTTTGTTATATAATTCTGCGTTTGCTTCATAATTAGCATCTCATTGTTTTTAAGCCATTAAAAATCTTTGGGTGTTTAAGTATTGTATATATGTTAGTTCACATGGGCAATATGAAATCTCCGGTGGTTATGGAGGAAAAAAGTTGAGTTGAATGCATTCTACAAACCTTTATTATAACTTAGAGCGCTGCCAGCTTATGTAGTTCTTCTAGGTGATAGCCCAAATAACTCAGAAATGTAATTTAATTATAGTAAGTGAGCCCTATATCTTTTCGAATCAAAGAAACAACTAATTGAATTTTTTTTTTTTGTTGGTTTCAGAGACAACAAGAAAAATATTAGAAAAAGAAAGGAATTTGACAAAAGCAACCGATCAGAACGGATGGTCACCGCTTCACTATGCTGCCTATTTCGAAAGGAATTATGACGTTCTGAAACTATTACTAGAATATGATGCGTCTGCAGCTTACATTGTTGACATCGATAAGAGAACAGCCCTTCACATAGCCGCCCTTCGAGGCAATGAGGAAGCAATGAAAGAGATTGTTTCTTGTTGTCCAGCTTGCTGTGAAATAGTTGATAATCGAGGTTGGAACGCTCTTCATTTCGCTGTAGCTAGTAAAAGCACAGATGTATACGGAAAGGCTCTGAAAATTCCAGAACTTGGTAGACTTGAAAATAAGAAGGATGACAAAGGAAACACGCCGCTCCATCTAATTGCAGCTTTAGGGTTGAAGCAAGAGGGCTGGAAAAGTTTTGGTTTGTTATTTTATGATGAACGGATGAGGTGTGGTCTGAATAAGCAAAGCTTAAGCGTCGAAGACATAATTCAAGGAAATTTGGGTGAGATACAACAGGTAATCCTCTATGTCTGACTGTTGTGATGATGCCATATTCTATAAAATATATGTGTTTTCATATTTAACTATCCAGTAGTACGTACTCTTTTACTAATGAAATTCATATATAAACTGTGTTGCCTCTCCCAGAAAAAGTTTATTTTTTAATAAAAAGACTAAATTAATGAGAATGATATATGTAAAATAATTATTTTCGTAAAAAACGAAGGATCATGAATCATGAAAATAATTTTAGTATATAAAATTATACTAAAGATCCACATTTTAATTAATTTTCTTTTTTGGGATAATTTGACTAATGTACGTATAGCATGAAATTTCAGTTTTTTTTTTTTTGTTAACGAGAGAATTTTATAATACATATTATAGGAACCATTAATAAAAAGAGTATATGATTGGTATCTTAATTGTTAAAATATTTTTTGAATTCTAACACACATGATAGTTACTGTCATCCAAAATTTTTATAACTGAGTTTTTGATTTACTTAAGTTTTAAAAATAGCTAGTACCACAGAATTATTTTTTAATTAGAGAAGATTTATTAAATAATTACTTAATGACATATATTAAAGAGATGTATCTCACGGTACATAGAATGAGAAAATTATAACGACAATTTTATTTTTCATAACTGTATATAAAAGCCCAAATTCAATCTAGATCATAGTATACTACCATTATTAATTACTTAATTACATATATTAAATAATTCATTAACCATTATACCCCTTAATACAATACTAGCTCGTATAGTATATATCCTACCAATATTAATAAGTAATTCAATCTCGTCTCCAATTAAGAAAAAGAACAAGAATGGTAAAGTTTGTCAAAAGAAAATTACTAATTTTTATAAAATATGCTATTTTTTAAATCAATCCTAAAATATAGAGCAATTCCCTTGATTATTATTATTATTATTTACACACTGCATAAAATCCTAAATGACACAAGAATCTACTTAATGTTTTATTGACATTTTATTTTGACTATCGAAACTCTAACAAAAACTTAAAACAAATCAATAAAAACATAAAGTATTAAAATAATAAAATTACATCAAAATTCGTGAAATTGTCAAATTCAATCTTTGGTTGATTTTTTAATTATAGGATATTATATGTTATTCTCTTACATTATCTTTTACTCCTTTGAAAAAAAAATATTAAAAATGGAAAATTTTATTAAAAAATGATTTACAAAGTTTTTATTTATGTTTGTATTGTTACTTTATATTAACATCACATATAATTGCAAAAAAAAAATTATTTAAAATTAGAAGCTGGTTCACAATAGTATAATGTTAGGTGAAAAAAAATTAGTAATTATTTTTTAAAAGAGATGTGTATTTATTATCCTAACTACCAATTATTAAATTTGAAAGATAATTCAATTTGTCCCTAACTTTTACTTAAATCCAGTTAATCCTCTGTAACTAACTGTTGTGATAATGCAATATGTTTTCATATCTGACTATCCAGTAGTAAAGTAAAAAAAAAAAAAAAAAAGACTTAATTGCCAAGTTCTGGAAGCAAAAGGAAAGGCTTGGAAGTTGATAGATGATATTTGATAATTAGCTTAAAAAAAAGGATTATTTACGATATTTTAGCCAAAATGTTTCCTTTGCAGAAAGAGATCTTAGACTCCATTGAAGATGTTGGTAGTGGACCCTTTGGACGCATTGTTGTGGAAGAAGATAAAAGGGTAATGCCAGAATACAAAGATGTATCCTTGGATAAAATAAGAGAGGCTCATCTAGTAGTAGCAGCGCTCATAGCAACGGTAACATTTGCAGCAGCTTTCACCTTGCCTGGCGGTTACAAGAACGAACAAGGCCCTAATCAAGGCACTGCAATTCTAACGAAAAAAGCCGCTTTTATAGCATTTGTTATATCAGATGCAATAGCAATGGTGCTCTCACTTTCTGCTGTCTTTACCCACTTTTGTTTGGCGCTGCTTCGTGCTGATGATGAAACTGAGGTTAAAATTCTCAAAGTAATAGAGTTGGGCGCGGTTTTAACCGAGATTGCTATGGTTGGAATGGTTATGGCATTTATTACAGGCACTTATGCAGTGCTAGCAACTTCCTTCGGGCTTGCCATCACCACTTGTTTCATCGGTTTGAGCTTCTTCTTTTTTTGTTTTTAGTGTTCAAGATAAGTTTGTAAACTGAGCATCAAAGTTGCGAATTGGCAAGTTCCCCTGTAATTTTCAAATGTTTTATATTTTCCTTGTAATTTAATTGAAGAGAATAAGCTTCGAAAATTAATAACAATTGTTATCGCATTTATTACAGGCACATGTAACGCTACCAACTTTTTTGGGACTTGCCATCGCCACTTGCTTCATTTGTTTAAGCTTCTTTGAAGTTAGAATTGACAAGTTCTCCTATAATAATTTATCTGTATTTTTCAAACGTTTTGTATTCTCCTTCAAATAATTTATTTTGATGAGTGAAAAACCTCAAAAGTACTAAAAAATATTTACCATTCAATTTTATTGTTATTAGTTTTTTCTTTTTGTATCTATATCTCTCGCATACCAAGAAATTTCACAAGAGAATTCAACGATTACCGTTAGCTATGTATTTGAATTCTATTGATTCATTTAGGCTCCATTTTTCATGTTAAACAACTTAATTTTGAAATAATTATTAAATTCATGATTATTTCCATTTTTATAATTTATAGATAATCACGTAAGAGCTTGTTTGTGAAAAAATTATCATAAGGACTAAAATATATTTATGTAGAAAATACAATGACCAAAAAACTTGGAAATAAAGACACATTTGTAAGCAAAACTAAAATACAGGCACAAAAAATAGATTGTAAAAAAATTACAAGGATTAAAATAAAACTGTCAAAGCCTCCATCACTGTTTTTTTTTATGACTTCACACAAGTTTTTTAAGTTGGTGTTTATAACTGTTGTAAGGAATCACTTTTATTTTATTCAGGCTCATCACTCGTCGATCAGTCCAGCCCTTCTAATAATTTCTCCATCACAATAAAATGGCTCAGAAATATAACAGCTCTTTCAATCAAGATTTTTCAGAAGCAGAACTGGCATTAAAGCTGTACATTAATCATCACTGCCGCCTAATTTCCCCACAAAATATACACAAATAACATAATAATCAAAATAATAAACAACTATATAAAAAGGGCTGCACTGACACATACACAAAGAAATTCTAACCACTATTTATTCTCAATCCTTTATTTCTACCAAAAACCAAATTATTTTATTATGGAAAAGGATGTGTGCCGCTATTTAACTCCGTTTGTTCTGCAACAAATGAGGAAACTATAAAGAAATAGAAGTAAGAAAATGGATGTAGTGGTGTTATTTGACTCCTATCTCGTGGTTTATACTAGAGATGAAGCTGATGACAACACACAATGTCTGAGTTTTTCAGACTCTAAACCCATTAACAAAGGGTAAAAGAGTATAGTTAAAACTCAATTTGAATAAAACAGTTGAAAAGATTACATGTAAAATTTTAAATTAAATTAAATGATTAATGAAGTATAGAAAACACATAATTTCAAAATCAAATAGCCTCAGTTAAATCCATTAATATCATTGTAATGTAGCTTCCACCAAGTAGGTTCTCCCTGCTAAACAGGGACATGGCTCCACTACACCTAAAACAAATTGGATTGTCTCATCACAGGCAATCTTATAAAACAATTATGCTCAAAACAGCTATTACCATGGTAAAGTTTCAAAAACCTTGAACATTGCTACATTATTCAAAACGTTTCATAATCAAGGAAAAAAAATTCTAAAAAATAGTTCTTAAATGAATACTAGACAAGAGAATTGCAAGATCTTTAAATCAAATGGCTCAGAGATGTAACAGCTCTGTCAATCAAGATTTATCAGAAGCAGAACTGGCATTCAAGCTGTGTATTAATCATCACTGCCAAATTTCAACCAAAAAATAAAAACAAAACACAATTATAAACAAAACCAAAATCCCTATATCCGTATATAGAAAGGGCTGGCTCATATTAAGAAATTCAACCATTTACATTTTTGCTTCATTGATTTCTCTCAGAAGCGCGGATAAATCCAATTTAATCATAGCCAACAAATTCAATCACACAAAAAAATATTGATAAATATGGAGGGAATTTTTAGAGGCAAAACCATTGAAACAAAGGGCAAAAGCCCCCACGTGAACCCCACCAAAAAGATTCAATCTTTGCCTCATTGACTAGCTTAATTTCCACAACAAATCTCAAAAAACAAGCTAGAGGTATTGAGAGGCAACAAAAACAAAGAAAAAAGCACAAACCAAGATGAATAACTAGATATACTTTCAAGAATAAGAGATGTAGCCGTTACTTTGACACAGAAAAGCCGTGGAATAGGTACAAGAGGCTAAACTGCAACACTAAACGGCAGGTGTTTTAGCACGAGCTTTGGGACTTTCTACATCAGGGGATTGTAATTCGTGAAGCCTGGGAGGCATCGTGCAGAGAAAATTTTGCAAAAGAGAAGTTCTTGAAAGGAATTGCTAGTTGAAAAACAGAGTTTTTTTTTAGATGCTGAGACTGCACATGGAGAAAACAGAGAGAAGTTACGAATTTATATAGAGAGTTCAAGAGCTATAAAACCCTAGTTGCTGTTATTCAGGTTAAGAAGAGTCTGGTTTGGTTTCGGGGAGTTTGGGTATTGTAATGGGTTGGGCTGAATTTGGGGTGGTCCATTTTGAAAACCCAAAATCCATGATGTCTCATATATATATATATATATATATATATATATATATATATATATCCTCCTTTGTTGTTGTGGTTAATTTTTTTTTTCCATCTACAAGCTAAAGTATTTTTGGATTAGTTTTTGTTTGTATAATGTCTTTTCAATTAGGTTTTAAGCAAGTCATTCGCATCCAAATTAAAGCATATTATAAAAAATAGCATATGAACATAAATAATAAACATGGCTATGAACACTTTATGTATATATTTTTTATCATTTCTTTCATGTAGATATTCTGACAATTTTTAAAATTTATCGTTATTATAATTTTTAATATTGTACTTTGCCTTTGTAGCTCTTAAATTTTTAATCCAATTATACCAATCAATTTGATTAATCCAACCAGCATAGACCAATTGTATAAAAATAAATTTCTTGTAATTGAATTGGATTCTTTTTTGTTCTTAATAGTCACAATATTTTTTAATGAACTTTCTTGTAATTGAAGTCAAATCTCTAAGCCAACAACACAAGATTTTAGAATTTGATCACAGTTTTTCCACTCCGATAAGGCATATGAAAAATTTGATCATAGATTGCCTGAGACAACGACAGATAAGTTAGCTCGGTTCATAAATTGACAACTTAAGCCGCAATTTGATGTATGAACTTCAAAGACAAATTGAGCAAAATCTTCGTTGAGGTGACTTAGATTTCCATATCATACAAGCATATTACACAAGGGAGCGACCAATAATTTGAGATCACAACACGAAGAGCTTCAAACTGATGGATTCTCTGGTTTCCTCAATGTGTAAAACATCGTCCCCAGGACTTAGTTTTTTTTTCTTTCTAAATTCTCGCAATTGTACAATCTTATGGATCATATGTGCTACACACATCTAAACAAAGGAGAAACTTTGGGAATTTTACGACCAATTGATTAACAAAACCAGAAGACTAAAATTGTTGCTGCTACAGGAATTGGCCCTTGAGCCATTTCAAAACTCAATCATCATCTCCAGATGACTGAAGTCTTTGCTGTCATACTAACATCCATGTCAAGTGGCGGTAGCCAGCCCATTTAGCAGCAACACGAATACCAATGGCTAAACCTCCGCACAGTAACGGCACTGGAATGCTATTACCAGTATCGGCTGTCGCAACTTCAACTTCTTCCTTTCCTTTGGAGAGCTGCTTTGAATGGTGAGAAATAGCTAGAGCTAGATATGAAAACATTACCAAAACTCTAACCCAAGGTTCTCCAATTGCAGCTAGTACAGCTGCAGCGGGTAAAGCAGAAGTAACATCATCTCTCTTCTTAACTAATCTAGAGAAAGTGTACAAACCCAGTAGAAGCGTCCAGAAAAATGGTTCAGAGATGTAGTTTCTTACTGCTGCATAGCCAATAAGGCCAGATATTGTGAGAAGATAAGGTTGGCTGCTTACAGAGTTTGGAACGGCAGCTTCACCAATAGCAAGAACTGCTGATGCAAGCATGATAATCAAGGTCAGTTCTGGAACAGGAGCGGATCTCACTATTCCAGAGTAGAAAGACTGAAATGTGTAGATTGCAGTCTCTATACATCTGATCAGAGAGGTGATTGGATCCCCAATGAAATGGAAGACAACAGCCAACAAAAGTTTCAGGAGGTATCCCACAAAACCAACAACAGCTATGGCACCTCTTTTCCAGTTACCTAGTTCAAATAAGACCGCTCTCCATGCATAGATAAGGAAACCCAGTGCTGCATGTTAATTGCAAGTGAAAGGGATTAGTTGGTACATCATAATCTGTGGTAACAATTCTTTGCAAAGAAAACAGAGCAGAAGCATAATCATTCGCATATCATACAGTTTGGGAAAATAATGATCACAAACAAACACGAAGAATCTGTAAAATCATTAACTGAAACAACAGCATTTTCCTCTACAAGATAGAACTAAAGAATTTAGGGAGCAAGAAGTCATAGTATCTAGATATAAATTATAGAATTATACACCTATCAAGTCAAAGTTTCCAACAGGTTACATTCTACAATTCTCTATTCAAGTTTCAAAAAATGCAGCCACACTTTCTATGTATATTCTACCACCTCTCAGATGCCACTGAAAATCACACTTTTCTGTTCTTCTAATTATATGCAAGTGAATTGCTGTATTGCACAGCAATTCACCACAGAAAATGGCCATTCTTAGCCAAGCTCTCACGCTTATAAAACATTTCTGACTGCCCACATCCTTTTCTCCCCCTTTATCTTTGTTCTTTCTCTATCATGCCTGATTACTGAAGCCAACTACAATACAAAAACTACTAAAATATTTAATTGGTAAAATACACAAAAGAGACAGATCAAAAGGAAAGAAGTTGACACAACTTCTCAACACTAAAGCATAGAACTAAAATCATCTCATCCGCCAAAAAAATTCACTCATAAAATACCTTTTGTTGTTTTCCCAAACAATAAAATCAATTGTTTTTTCTTATTGCATGCACACATAAGTGGAACACATGAAACCCCTCACACTACTCTCATTCCTCATACAACAACATATATATTCATAAATCAGCTGCTTGTATAAAATCCAAAAAACATTCAACAACAGAAAACCATTTAAAAGAGATAATTAACAGAGGATAAACATATGGATCAGCATCAAAGTTTTGATCAATGCAGTAAGCATGGTGGCAGCCAACAGATGATTAAAGTAAGGGGATGCAAGTATAAAATGTTGGGAGAACTCTAGGCTAGCATTCCATACTAGAATGCAGCCCCACGCCTTTTATTTCAACCCATAACCAAGCATGGCACATTTTTGTAGGAGAGGTTGCGACAGTCGCAATGCAATAGCTCAAACAAGGACAAGAGCCCTCTCCCTTTCTTACACCCCCAAACTTCCGCATCCATGACTACCACCATTATCTCACTCTGCTCAGACCTTTTACTTCATATTGCCATCATTTCCATGTCAATTGAAACCAATGTATATTGAAAAATAGGCTACAAGTATCGAAATAAAGAAGCTTTGAACTAATAACAGTGGTGGTGGTAGTAATATTTATCACAAAAAGAACAATAACTGATTGAAAAAAAAATATAAACCCTAAAAAATCAAGTAACAACTGATTTTGAGTCAAAATATTTTGGCAACTCAAGCAGAGCGGTTGAAGCATCAGGTAAGGAAATCATCATAGTGGATAATTTTCATTACGCATTCATCACAAGTCACACTGAGGTAATCTACAAAAATCATTTTAAAACAAAATTTCATTTCTAATCTCCTGAGAAAAAAGGAGCAGTAGTTCCTCCATGCTGAAAGAATGTAAAAATGTTACATTAACTATCAAATGACAATGGTGAACAATTCTGGAGAAAAAGGAGTAATAGTTCCTGCATAAGAACTCGTGAAACACTGCGCATCTTCATCCAAACATACAGTAATTGCATTCTCCCTTTATCTTCCAATATTGAGATTTCAATACCTCAACTAATAAAACAGCCAACAAGCTAAAAAATGATTGAACAGTAGCAATCAAAAGAATTGAACAAGCAACCTACTTGAAATTTCACCAACAGCAGGAAAATAATAATAATAATAATAAATAAAAACCCACAATTTAAAACTAAAAAATTTCTCAAACAAAAAAAAAGCAATAATTTAACTTCAAAGATTAAATCTTTTTCTTCCAGCATAGAAAATAAAACATACCCACAAACCAAGGCCACCTAACGGGAGGGTCAGGTGCTTCTTTAGTCAAGTACCTAAACCTCTCAGGCATAGTACTCTCTCCACGTTCACCATCATCAACCACACCATCGGTTTTGCTCTCTCCTTCTCCATTATCTGCATTAACACAAGACCCCAACTTCCTATCTCTACTGTACAAAAACAACCCGAATCTTTTCAGGGTCTGTTTATGGCTACATAAAGATTGAGTCTTTATGGCTGCAGAATGACAAGAAACGGTTTGGCTCTTGTGGGTTTGAAGGGAACGACGAGAAAAGGATGGGATTTTGAGAGTTGGAGAGGAGAGTGTGGTTATTGGTCTTGACATGGTTGAGGAGTTTAGAGAGGTTTTGCCATTATCAGTTTTAAGAAAGGCCAAACTGTGGCTGCAGAAATTCAAAATGGGTTTCGGATGTTGATATGGGCTAGTGGATCCAAGTAGAATTGATACCCGGATCCTTTTGGTTAGACCCGGATTAAGCTGATAATTTTAACAAAGACAAGAATTCTAAGAACTTTTTTTTCTTGCAAAGTTACCCTTAACTTTGAGTTTTGGTGAAAAATCCTCAGAAAAAATGTACCATCTTTTTATTCAATGAGAGTAAAGTTGAAATTAAAACTTTTGGGTTTTGTTTTGTATAATTTTTATACATTAATTTAAATTATTATTATTTTTTATTACAAGAAGAGTCATAAATATTTTTTAATTATAACTGAATTTTTATTTAAATAAAAAAGTTAGTCACAAGTTATAAAAACAACTTGTGAATTATCATCTTAAAAATTTTAGACAATCATAATTGCTCTTTAACATAGATAAATTGATATGTAGAATCCATTAAAAAAAAACCTCAATGTGGCTCATGAATCCTAAGTTGATTTTCACTTTTAAATTGTCCAAAATAAAAAGTAATGGATCCTCTTAAAGGCAAATATTCTTTTACATAATAAAATAATAATGGTAAGAATTCATAAATAAGTTAAATATATTATCAGCGTCAACATTTTTTTATCTAATTTTATGAAACAATCATCCACGTACTTACACATATATACTTTCACGGATAAATTTATATTATCATATCTTATTTCATTTCATCTATCAAACGTATTGTTATATTAGAATTTCTTAAATTTCTAAAACTAACTCGACTCAAGAACTAAAAACTAATAGATGTCGTTTAATAGGAATGACAAAGGATAAGTTATTAAATGAGTATTTATTCTATTTTGTTCAATAAATACTTATTACAATATTAAATAAATATGAAGACAAATAAAAAAATACATACGGTTTAATAGAAATTTTGGATATGAATATCTACTTTATATCTTACTAGTACTTACTATTTATAAAAAAAATAATGTAAGACTTGATTGAACAAATTTTATAAATTGAGGATCAAACTCTTTTTTATGAAAAGTTTGAGGACTAAATTTAAAAAAAATTTAAGAAAAACTAATTTTTAAAAAAATTATAGGGATTAAGACAAAATTTTGGACATCCGTCCATCGCTAAGGTAGTGCTTGCTGTCCCTAGTAGCGAAGGGAAACGGGAGGGCTCCTTTTGTAGTAATAATCGGTGGGTGGGATCCATGAGATCTGCGAAGAACCATTGGATTCATCAAGGAGCAATAACAGCTAGCAGCGCCGTCGCGTGGCGCTGTTCCCGAAACTAGCAGCAGATGGGCTGGCCGGGCCCGAATTCAGACCCGTAAGTCATATATATGGCATACAGATTCGGTCATGTTTAATGGGCCCACTACCCATCGGAGCTGAGTTGAGATCCAAGTTACGAGCCTGTATGTAGGTATTGCACTCCACAACGAGGTCTTAAGCCTGTTCGATTCTTAGAATGAAGGAGTAAATTATAAATTAGTCCCTCTATTGTTTTAAAAAGAATAAAATAATGCCTTTAGTTTTAATTAATAATTAATTAGTCCTTATATTTTGAAATTTATTGTAACTTAAATCCTATTTTTATTTTTTTCAGTAAGTAGGAAAAAAAAAAAGAAAAAAATTGATGGAAAAAAAATATTTTAACAGCTAAATATTAAACAACTAGGCTTCAACCCTGAATTCATATCAAGAACCAACTATCAAAAGTTATGGAGCAACGAGCATGTTGAACTTTTAAAATGACAGAAGGTTCAGCCAACAAAATTTAGCAGCTTGTATTTAATCGTTAGTCCTTTGAAGATCTGTCACTAAATGTAGAAAGGCGACACAACATTCTGCCTTCTTTAGTTGCTCCATTTGTGAGATATATGGAATGCCTCAAAATCGTTATATAATAGTGGTTATATACCCTAGAAAATGAAACATAAAATCCTAAGATTCTTGCAGTGAAGGAACTCAATGACTTCCAAGCACAGGTCTGAATAAAGCTCCTGATTACACAAAAATTCACATTACAGTGAAGTTGTGAAGCCCAAAACAACATATCCCTATAACTTACAAAAACTCGCAGGCAAACACCTTCACTTCAATGGGAGTTTTATTCAAGAAATAGAAATCAAGTCTCTTCCGAACAAGTCTTAGAGGAGGCAACAAGTTAAGAAAATTTATCATGACAATCCAAAGTCAAAACCAGAAGCAAAAGATCCCCTTGTGTTGTCCTCGAAGACAATTTTGACATCTGCGGAGGCCTTCGGTAGGTTCAGAATGCCTGAAATTGTCTTAGAGTTGTTACAAACTGCTGGTGTGGATACTTCTCGAGTCAATGAAATCAACTAGATCTACCAGATCCATATGTGAGACTAATTCTTCCAATACAAGATTTATTCTTACTTCAGTTAAGTGCTCCTTAATGCAGTCATGTTTCCAAGCATCCAAACTTAAACATTCCAAGTCTTTCATTTGTGGGATTACCTGAAACTGAAAATTCGAAAGAAAACAATGCTCGAAGATGAAATAAGGAATTTCATTCAGAAAATGGAAGTCATCAAAGAGAGAATTTATCACCTTCAGCTTAAATATAATTGTTCCAAGATCTAAAGAGACTGATTCTCGGCAAAATGATTTGCGGAGTACACCAAAGAGAAACTCAATGTAGCTCATGTTTGTCAACTCTGTTTTCACCTTTAGACTCTCCAACATAGAAATCGGTGGCAGTGCTTCGGTGCTCTCCAAAATGCAGAAATTCTTACTCATGAAAAGAAATTATTAGATCTCTCAAATAAGTTTAGCAGGTTTGCATATTAGAAGGGTGCATAAATAGAAAGATTTGATCTGATTTAATTAAAACAATCATCCACACGCTCATCGTGCACATAACATCTACATTAATTAACTATTTGTTTTTCGCTATTGGCTAGATGGCCCTTCTATGTTTTAATATGATAGGTTTTCCCTAAAAAAATTATTTAGTTTGAAAGTGACACACAAGCTGTAATACCTATAAATCCATTAAGTTAGTTAAATAAGAGGTTTAAGTGAAGGGCACTTAGGTAATTTCATTAAATAAAAAAAAGAAACAAAGGGAAGAAGTGGCGAGAATGGTTTCGATTGAAACCAAGCAAAAAGAAAGAAAGAAAAACGAGGGAGAAGAAGAGAAAAGAGGAGAAGGAAGGAGAGGAAGGAAGGAGACTTACCGACGACCACCCATTTCGACGATAGCTCCGACGACGGTAGTGGTGGCTTGATTCGGTTAAGAAGAATAAAAATAAGAAGGATTTAGAAGATGAGGAATAAGAGAGAAACAAAGATGAATTAAGTTAATTTTTTTTAAGTTTTAGTTAATTATAACCTTAATTAGGATGAGTTATAGGTAATTTAGTGAATTTCATCTTGAATTAAGAATTAGAATTATGGATTAGGTTTGATTAAAATTACGGCTTATGTTAGTTTAGAAAATTTAAAAAAGTGAGTGAATGGGTTAATTAGGGTCCAATTAAGCTTGAATTTTAATTTATTAGTTTATAATTATTGTTATTTATGATAAATGTAAATTTATGATGATAAAGGTAAGAGAGGATTTGGTGAAAGAAGCTACTTAAGGAAGAGAAAATTACAATTTGGGATGTTCCTCTAGATTAGAGGTAAGTATAACACCTATTATGAGTTTTTACTATCATATATGTATATATTGCTTGTGAAGTGAAAAATTGATTGTATAGATAAATGCTTCATTATTACAAATAATTGTATATGAGTTGAATTATTTTAGAATGAGTGTTCTTACCATAAGCTAAATAAATTGAATTGATATGTTGCCATATGAATTATGGTTATTAAAGAGAATATTGATACGATTGAATGGTATATGTGCATGTTGATATGATGATCACTTGCATTAAATGAAATTGTGTGATTGATATGTACTTGAATGAGAATAATGATATTGATGACTTGAAAGAAGTCTATACGGGACTAACTAAGCTAACAAGGTTATAGTTAGCCTAGGTGCACCTAGTATTTACGGTTAGGGAATGACCGTAATGCTTCCCTTAGAGTTCACCCCTACGGGGGCCATAGTTTACCCTTTTGAGGGCCGGAGTTTACCCTTGCGAAGCCCATAATTACCCTTTAAGGGCTAAAGGAATAGACGAGTTATGCATAGAGTGATTTCAAGTAATTGTTATGCTATTATTAATTGTTAAGAAAGACGAGAAAAAGAAAAAGTTATTGATTGCTTTCTTGGTTGCAAATCATGTATGATAGGTGTATTGGCATAATTGTATGTATAACGATTTATAATATGTGTTATGCTTACCGAGTTTTGAAAACTCACGCTCCCAACCTCAAATATTTTATGGATAATACGGAAGCTAGATCATAGAAGGAGAAAGATAGATTTTACGGATTTGAAGGTACTATCCGGATATTATTTTGCTTCCTCCGGGTATAGGACATGGTTGTTTCAAATTTATACTCATTGTCCATTTTGGAATTGTAATCGGTCATTATATATTTTATTTTACTTAGTTGCTTTCGTTGGTAGCATCACCAAATCCGAGAGATAGCTAGTTAAGGGTCTCCATGTTTTGTATTTGAATGGTTAAACGATAATTTATGAATTTTGTTATGTTAAATATTGGATTATGTGTTTGTTAGTCAATTTAGTAAATACCGAGATTTATGAGGAAGTGTGGATGTCCAATGGAGGGACTTGATGATGATTGAGAATTGATAAAGATGATTTGGAAGTGTATATATATTGTGATTTTTATGCGGGATATATATTATTTTTGGGACCCTCTAATTATAGGAGAAATGTCGTCGAAATTTCTATAGGAAATAGAGAAAGGATTAAGGCTCACGTAGCTCGTGGTGGGTCACCTCACCTCGAGCTACATGTTGGTCGTGGCTCGTCGGTTTGAGTCGTGAAAAAGTTGGTATCGGAGCAATGGTTTAGGCTTAGTAGATATGCTTTAAGGTTGAACTAGTAAGTAAGTTATAGGATAAGCCTTTGGTTTTGCACCGCGGAGCTATAAGTAGTTATAGGTTTTCAAATTATCTTTGAGTTATTCATTATATCTTAGTTTCGTGTAACGTATCTTATTATATCGAGTTAAGTATACTTGTATATTTGTTATAAAATGATATTGATTAGGACTCTTTTGTTAATAGATGGTGAGGACTAGAGGCGGTAGAGGTAGTAGGGGTGGAAGAACCCCTAATGTAGGTCGTGGTAGAGGTGCTAGAGCCCCACTTACAGCACTCGGCCTAGCTATCCCGCATATTAAATGGGGTAACAAGCATAGTAGATGAGATTTTATGACGGACGAGAGAGAGGCGGAGGAGAAAAGAGTGACCGGGTCTGCAGGCCACTCTAGGAGCACAGGATGTTACCCAAAACTTGAACTTATTAACGCAGATCATTGCACGAGCATGAGAGGCTACATGCACAAGCATGGATGGCACCATCCTCTTCATATGCTAATGAGGATGAAGTGCCATTATCCGAGTTCCGAAACTTAAGCCGTCGGGATTTGAAGGAAAACTTGATGAGGATCCTCATTTGTTTATAGAGGAGATAGATACAAGATGTAAGGCATTGGATTATAATTCTAAAAAAAATACGGATAGTAGAATTCGTTTGACCGGGATAGCCAAACTACGGTTTAAGACCGAGGGATTGTCCAACTGGATTTGAGAGGATTTCAATAAGGCTTTCATGGATAGATTTACGCAAAGAGTGTTAGGCGAGCAACGGGCATTTGATTTTCGAGAGATTGAGACAAGATGCTTTCATGATCGTTACTGAATATGATGCATGATTTATGGAGTTGAGTAGGTATGCTCCTTACCTAGTCGGCACGGAGGAGCTAAAAATGTCTCGATTTATAGGTGGTTTAGTACCATGACTTCGTGCACTTTTGATTGCTACAAGGGTGAACACCTATGCGAGAGGTTGTAGAGTATGCCCGATTAATAGAGTTATCTCGGATAGATCACCTAGAAAAGCGAGTCCTCGACCTAAAAGGAGTATAAGTGAGGGGCGATCTAGTGGCCGTCGGGCCCGAGGTAGTAGACTTAGTGGATTTAGTTGGGGTTCGGGCCATCAAGGCCAAATGGGCCAACGGGACTTATAGAGGGAATACCACCGCAGGCCCGAAACATCTATGGGTAGGAGTCGGGGTTCTATAAGCTACGACCAACGGGGCCTAACTCGGGCAAGCCAAAATACTCGTATTCCTCCACGATCCGGGTAAAATGCTCACACTCCTTCTCATTGTCCAACTTGTAACATGATGCATTGGGGCCAGTGTAGGGTTGGACGAGTGGATGTTATCTTTATGGATAAGAGGGTCATTTTGCTAGAGAATGTCCATCTTTTTTATCACGACGAGACTTTCTCACATAGACTTGCACATACTTCTTCCGGTCGATTTATGCTCGTTGATTAGATTGATGGGGCCGATAGATGAGGTTTAGGAGGTAGAGGTTTTAGTGGAAGAGGACGGATGCAATCGATAGACGTCGATCTCGGATAGGTAGAAGTCGATTACTGGACGAGTAGAGGTTAGGGTGTAGGGGTAAGAGATCGAGTTTTGCGGGACGTGGACAAGCTACGGTGTATGCCTTGATTAGACAAAATGCACAGGCTTCTAATACTGTAGTGTCGGGTATACTTCCTATTCATTCTCTTTATGCACGAGTATTATTTGACACCGGGCTACTTACTCATTTATATCCCCATTCTTAGCTAAGAGATTGGGTAAACAATTAGAGAGATTAGATGAGTCCTTAGCAGTGTCCACTCCGGCAGGAGAGAGTGTAGAGGTAAATTTGGTGTATCGGTCTTGCAAGGTTAAGGTAGGAGATAGAGATCTTCCACTGGATCTCTTATTGTTTGAGTTAGTGGACTTTGATGTAATATTGGGAATAGACTAGTTGTCTCAATGTCATGCATCTCTTGGCTATAATAGGAAGATAGTGAACTTTAACATGTCGGATGAGTCAAAATTTCAATTTCGGAGACAAAACTTTAGCTCCATATAACCTTGTGTCAATACTTAGTGCTAGGCATATGTTGCATAAGGGATGTTGTGGTTACTTAGCTTTTGTGAGAGATGTAAGCTCTCCGGAGCCAAAGATGGAAGATGTGCTAGTTGTGAAAGAATTTTCGGATGTGTTTTCGGAGGAATTACCAAGGTTACCTTTGGAGAGGGAGATAGAGTTTGCATAGATGTTATGCACGGAACCGAGCCAATATCAATGCAACCTTATAAGATGACACCGAGTCGAGCTTAAGGAGCTCAAGGAGCAATTGCAAGATTTCCTTGACAAAGGGTTCATTAGGCCTAGCGTGTCACCTTGAGGTGCACCGAGTGTTGTTTGTAAGGAAAAAGGATGGGTTTTTACGCCTATGTATTGACTATAGGCGGTTGAATAAGGTCACAATCCGCAACAAGTATCCATTGCCTAGAATTGATGATCTATTTGACCGATTGCAAGAGTCTCAATTCTTTTCCAAGATAGACTTGAGATCGGGATATCATCAATTATGCATAAGGAAGGAGGATATCCCAAAAACGGTATTCGAAGTAGATATGGACACTATGAATTTCTTGTGATGTCTTTTGTACTCATTAATGCTTCGCAGCATTTATGGATTTCATGAATCGAGTATTTGAGGTCATTCCTTGACAGCTTTGTGATAGTGTTCATAGATGATATTTCGATTTATTCCAAGAGTAGGGAAGAGCATGAGCGACACTGCGAATGGTACTTCGAACCTTGAGGGAGCATTAGTTGTATGCTAAATTCTCCAAATGTGAATTTTGGCTAGATAGTGTTGGTTTTCTAGGACATTTAGTGTCAAAAGATGAGATAGAAGTGAACCCAAAGAAAGTTGAGGTGGTTACTCATCGGCTAAGGCCAACATCCGCTACCGAGATTCATAATTTTCTCGATTTAGCTGGATATTATAGACGTTTTGTGGAGAACTTCTCACGGATAGTTGCTCCGTTGACAAAGTTGACTCAAAAGAAAACGAAGTTTGAGTGGACGAGATGCATATGCACATCTCTCATTGTAAAGTTTCTAAGAGATGGGAAATTCATGGCATCATAAGATCCAAATTGGCATACTTCTAATGCTATAGTAACCAAATGTGATCCATTAGAGAAGATGTCCTGGGGCAAGATATAGTGGTCACAAAGTCCACGTTTTGGATTATGTGTGCCTTGAAGGTTAAGATCAAGTTCTATGATCTTGCCTTTCATGACAGACGCTAGACAAGTATCAAGAAGACTTACAAGTGCGGTGTCATGGGGACTGATAGTGGAGAAACTCAGCCTCTTAATTTGCTCCAGATTACAAAGTCTAAGAGTTCGCTCCATATGACAAAGAAATCTAACTCTGCAGCTAGTTTCCACATTATCATCATCATGATCAAACCAGATCTCATGGAGGTTGAGAAATGGGAAACTAAGCCAGAGAGCCTTCCGTCTCTTGGACAAGATTTGGGTTCGAGCAGCAACTTTTGTAGGTAGAAACGTCAGGATACGGTGAACGATAGAATCTGGCAGAACAGATGTAATTCTATCAAGCCCTTCCATTGTAGCTCTCTCTTCATGTATTCTCTTTGTAGATATGCCTAGATCACAGTTTTCCATTGCTGAGACACTCTTGTTTCTTTGTGAATAAGTTTTGTTTGAGTGAATAAAGGTATTGGCAATTAATGGTTTTGGACATCTCTGCATAATAACTGCGGGTTAAAAGATAAACAGGTTTCTTTCTCTTGCTTCTATTTTTCTCGTATCTTTTTTTTTTTTTTTAATTCATCTTTCTACGTTTGATTCTGTCTTAATCTCTCTCTCTCTCTTTTAACTTTTGGAATAAAAGTGTTAACTTTTTTTTTATCTCTTTTCTTTATTCAATTTTTTGTCTTAATTTTGTTTTTCTACCGAATTTAAATAACTGAATTTTAGAAAAAAAATATATAATGAAAATATATCTGGTCATTTTCTATAAAAATTGAAAATAAAACAGAAAAACTAGAAAAAAAGGAAAGCTAAAAATATTTTTTTATTCAAAATATTCTTTATGGGTTTAAATTTATCTCTATGAATGTAAACAAATTTTAAGTATAAATTAAAATATTTATAGTATTTTTTTTAAAAAAACATTATTAGTGTTCAACTCAATGCTATCAATTTTTTTTTATTTGACTAAAATTTATAATAAAATTTATATTCTCACTTTTAAGTCAAATAAAGAAATTTGTAAAACAAAATAAGGAAACTATATTAGACTCTTTTGTTTAAATTTAACTAAAAGCCTCCATATTTAATAAATAACTATGTCATTTTATACTTAAAATTTATCTACTATCATATAAATTAATTTAAACTCATAAAGAATATTTTTGATAAAAAAACCTTTTTTTAATCTCACTTTTTTTATAGTTTTTTCTTATTTGTAATTTTTAGAGAGAATGATATGATATATTTTTGCTTTTTTTCAATTATTTTTATTTTTTAAAATTTGATTAAAAAAACAAGATTAAGACAGAAAAATAAAGTAGAGGTTAGGGGGAAAAAAAAAACAAGTTAAAGTTACTCCAAAAGTTATCGAAAGGATGGAAATAAGATAAAAATCAAATATGGAGAGATGAATTTAAGGAAAAAAAAAAAAATAGAGAAATCTCATCAATTATTTAACCCTAACAACTACAGTACTCTTCCCTAGGTATTCACGCCCTTGGCCAGATGCAACTGCTGGTTTTGCTTCATAATATTTGTTGACAATTACTTGCTAATTATGACCTCATTTTTAAGGAATTTGTAGTTAAATGATTATATGTCAGTATATCTACCCAGAGAATTTTTAAGTGTCATTGCCAAATAATCCGATATGGTTTATCTGTACAACTCTTCCATCTTTGGAAAGCCATTTGGGTCTTACTCTTTTCTAAAGGGTGCGGCTTGAACAATAATCTTTTTATTAAGTTTGGTGGCAAAGCCACTGCTTCACATAGAAAAACCTAATAGCAAATTCAAGGAATTATTTAATATAAATTCTTGGTAAATAGTTACAAAGATCTATCTATTCTATTCTTTGGTATGTAGCATTAGGGTCTTTATCGTAATTTTCTTAGCTTATTGTATAAAAAATACAAACTTTATATTTTTTAATAATATTAACACGCTCTTTCAATATTAAACAAAAATACATAAACTAAGTTTTTGCTTACCATATTAGCATGTATGACTTTTTTCGATCAAAATTTCCTTAACATCCGACATGATAAGGAATTTTAATTCTTATTGTCAATATTATTTCCTACCACATCGGATGTTAATAGAATTTTGGTTAGAAATTTTATTAAAATCATTTGTATATTTTTTGTCTAATATTGAAAATGTTCTAATATGATTAAAAAGTGTAAAGTTTGTGATTTTTTTGATAAAATAAGCCTCTTTTTTTTTTTTTTTGGGGGGTTTGGGGGGGGGGGGTTCCTATATTAATTTGTCCATCCATTAATTTTTTAAACTAATAGTGTTAAATTGCATTATTAGTCCTATAGGATTGCGACATGTGTCAATCTTGTATCTTTTTTTTAAAAAAAAATCTCATCCTTCTACTCTTTTTATTGAATTTAAATTAATGAATTTTAAAAAATTTATAAAAACTGAAAAAAGGTGAAGATACATTTGGTTATTTTTTCTAAAAACTGAAAAAAATATGAAGATATAAATGTTTTTTATTCAAAATATCCTTTATGAATTTAAATTTATATATGAAGATATATTCGATCATTCTCTTTAAAAAAATTTAAAAAAAATGAAGATAAAATATTTTTAAGATTTTAATTTATCAGTATAATAATAAATAAATTTTGAATATAGAATACAATATTTATAATATTATTTTTAAATGTCAAGAGATTTTTAGTTAAAATTTTAAACTTTTCTTTTTTAGTTTAAGTTCTTAGAGAGAATGATTAAATATATCTTCATATTTTTTTAAATTTTATTTATTTTCTAAAAACTATCTATTTAGATTTGGTTGAAAAAAAGAGAGTATAGGAACATAAAAAAGCAAGATTAACACATGTCACAATCATGTCGGGCTAACAGTATAATTTAACACAGTTAGTCCAAAAAGTTGAAGAAAGAACAAATTTAAGACATATATCAAAAGTAGATGTACGAACTTAAAATGAAAAAATGTAAAAGATACGATTAAAAAAAAGAGAGTAAAGAGACTCATGTAATTATTAACCTTATAAATTCTTAAAGAATCATATTTTTATCTTCCAGCATCAATTTCAGGAAGATCGTTTGAAAGCTGTATAGGTGCCTTTTCGGTTAAATGGTTGTGGTGCCTATTCTCTCATTTTTTTCAATGGTTAGAGGCATCGTCAATCTAGATTGCATGACAATCGAAACTAAACAATTTATTATTGGTTTCTTGCATTTAGAAAAATAATTTTTCATAAATCTTAGCCTTAATATTAAAATTCTTAAAATCAAAGGAGGAAATCAAACATCATCGGCCGCTTTACCTACCCCTTAGAGTTACTTTCCTACCTTATATGACATATACATGAGTGACTATTATAATAACTTGGGCCAAATTCAAAAAGTTTTCTGGCTTTATTTCTTCCGGCCATTATTATATAAAAAATCAGAAAAATCTTGTGTGCACATACACACATATTCATGATGTGGTTGAAGAAAAGGGAGGATTCTTCAAAGCAGAATTGCTAGAATTTCATATTTGTTTTGAATAAGTCCTATCATCAATATCATGTTCAGCAACAATTTACTATAAAAATTTTAGCTCTTTGAACACGTGACATTGATTATTTAAATTTTAACCATGATCGTTCTATTTTTCTAATTTCGAAACCAAAACTTCTTTTTAACTCCGACAAACTTTTGTATGCAAGATTAATTTTACGTAATAGATGACCAGAAAATTAATGCTATGCTTTGATTTTCTAATATATTTTACTTCTATTTTGCAATGACTATGAATTGTTTCTATCATCGTCACTATCATCATTATTCTTGGATCAAAAAGAATAATAACAAGGGAAAGAAAATAAAGTCGTAATGAAAAATGCTGGAAAAAAAAAAACTTAAAAACAAAACTAGAAAAATACCATAACAAAGCTAAAAGAATATCCGATAATCACTCAAACTCCAAACCCAAAAGGAAAATCAGCATAACTTTCTTGTCAATGATCCTGAAGTTCTCCATTGTAACTTGCTTTAAATAATGTTGCCAACACTTTATAGGCATAGAGTAGCAGCAAAAGAGATCATCTTCTATGGCCGATGCATCAGTTTAACAACAAATTCTTATAAGTTTTCAGTTGTCATAAGTCGCTTCCAACCTCATTGCCTCTTTCGCTATGAACTTCTGCAGAACTTTCTTTTCAACATTCCTGAAGTTTTCCATGGTAACTTGTTTTAAATAATGTCGCCAACACTTTATAGGCATAGTGTAGCAGCAAAAGAGATCCTCTTCTATGGTTGGTGGTACATCGTATTCGAACTGCAAAATCGAAGAAACATATCAGTATCAAATTACTATTCAACATAAAAATTTAAACTGATAAATAAAAGTGAAAAGATGGAATTCTATATTGTTATGCTAAGAACTATTCAGCTTGTACCATGGATTGTGCATATATATATATATATATATATATATATATATATATATCACTGCCTTGCTCGAAAATTACATTAAAAAAGGTGTTATTAGGATCTAAACTTCTTACTATTTAGTCAAATACGTTCCACTAATCACATCCAAAAATTTAAATTATTAGCAAAAAAGCTATAACAAATTCAGCCTATAAACATAGTTATATATGAGGCCATTTTTATCATATGTATGAGAATGATATGTCCAATTTTGTTGAAAAATTTCATGACAATTTTACAAATAGAACAACCACGTACCTTCAGGGATTTTTCTTCGTAACCCGAAACAATTGTAATAGTGTATGGATGAGGAGCAAGCCAAAGCAAACTATCCACTAAGTCCTTGAGTTCGTCCAAGTTCGGATCACTTATGTGCAACTTCAGATGCTTCAAGTCATACAATGGAGGAACTAAGCTGTCCCTCAAATCTCCAGGAACAATTAAAATCTGGAACAAGGAAATACAGAAGCAATTCAGAAAATTTTATGATGTACAAGCACAAATTATAAAGAAAATTAACAAAGTGAAAGGAAGTAACGAAAAGAAGTATTAAACTTATGGGAATGAAATCATACATCTGTACTTCGGCAAGTAATCTGCAGCTCCCGGCAATGACCAAAGCATGCAAGAAAATCTCTCAACTCCAAGAACAAACGGGACGAAAACTTAGAACCGTTGCACAGTGAAAGCTCAGCTTTAAAGCATGCTGAATCAATCAAAAACTTTGGTAGCTTTGTACATCCGCCGGTGTAGACAAATGTATCCAAGCTTCGTGCATAAATCTGAACCTCCTTCAGTGCATCACAATCAACAATTTGCAGAGTTTCAAGTTCTTCGTGCGAAATATTAAACTTTTGCAAGCTACTGCAGCCAAACAATCGAAAGTTCTTGAGGAAAGGAAATTCATGCACAGCAGATACAATCCACTCATCTTCAATCCTAGCACCAATTAATGTCAAATCTTTAAGAGACCGGCATGCTCCTATATTGATCAAAGATAGACCTTTCTGCCCTATATAGGAAAAATATTCAAGGTTTGGAGCCACAGCCTCAATCTTCTTGAGTTGTGAACAATCACTTAACTCTAATGTCTTAAGCTTAGCAGAAGAAACATACAGGTCTTTCAGTAGCTCGCAGCACTCAAGTTTAAGATCCTCGAGCAGAAGAAAATTAGGAATATGGCTTTTAATCCATTCACCTGTAATCTGAGCATTCTCTAGAGATAAACATTTAAGTGATTTGCACGCTGCAATGTTGATACTACATGAATCTGACTTTCTTGTTGATGAAACATCTCCAAGGAATGAGAAAGATTCAAGATTTGATTCATCCACTGCAACCATTTTCAGCCCCTTGCATGAATATATCTCCATAATTTTGAGATTTTGACATGAAACTCTGAGCGTTTTCAATCCTATGCAGAATTGAATGCTTAAACTTTCGACAAAAGGGTGACTCAACATCAAATCCTTATGGCCTGAACCTAACTTCAACCCTTTCAACTTTAAAACCCTGATTGATTTAGCAGATAACACTGTCAATGGAAAACGATAGTGAGCAGGTCCTTCGCCAAAATCTAGCTCCAGCTCTTTCACATGATTCTCTATTGCATAACCAATGGCACCATCAATGTGATGGGTTTTTTTATCATAACCCTCGAACAGGTCAACACAAAATCTAAATCTTTCTAAACTAATATTCGGAGGGCGTTGTTGGAGAAAACCACTCACATACTTCAAAAACTTATTTACTTTGGCCTCACCGTACAAATCATCACCACATGATCCCAAATTTAGGGTTTCGTTGAAAACGATGAAAGGGAAGGAATTCCATGCTGATCTAAATCTCTTGCACAAGGCACTAAATCTGGCAGCATCTTTGTGGCTCAAGAAGGACATGATGTGATGAATGATGGATTCGGGCAACTCCGAAATCCGGTCAACCTCCTCGGCTCGCTTCTGGATCATCAAAGATCTTGGTGTTCTCCTTTTCTTCAACACCATCATCCTTGACCTAATCAGTAGGATAGGGAACAGGAAAAAAAATAGCGTTCATCGATCACAAAGTAAAAAAAGAGTCTTAATATTAAGAATTAATAAGGGTTCTGGTTACATAGAAATATATAAATATACTTACACAAGGACGAGATGGTTCTAAATCAAAATTGGAGTCTGGATTATATTTCTTTTCAGAGAATGAGTTTGGATTGTATTGTATTTATAGAGTCCAAAACGTTTCTATTTCCTACGCAACTTTTTTAATAGCTTTTAGAGAGAATAAATAGATTCCACTTGAGAAATTATACAATAATAATAATAATAATAATAATATTTAATCTGACCAATTATAAAAGAACACATCTTTGTACAAAAGAAAACGTTTGAAACGATGTCATAAAATTCTATCTAAAAGCTAGATAATCTGCCTTAGCCACACGTTTGTTGTCTTTTGATGTGTCCTTCTAGAGTAATTGATGGCATTGTTGATTTTTTCTTAATGGATTCTTTCTTTTCCTTCTATAACAGTCGAATCAACAACCGCCCATATACAAAGCCACGACGTCGCAAACTTGAGAAAAATCGTGGAAGACATTTATTGTATTAAGAAGGAACATGACTGTTATATTCTTTAAATAAAATTCAAATTAAACGAACATGATTTATTGTATTATATAAATAATAATAACTTAATTCATTATTAACGTATTTCTTTTATCTAAATAAAATCATTAAATACAAAATTAATAGTTAGATTTAAAAGTTATGGTTTTTTTTAAGAATATGAAGAGAAGATTCAAATTCAAACTTCAATTCATCCTTATCTTTTTCCACATCCGTCATCAGTTCACACATACCCTTGATTTTATTTTCACTATTTCTTTATTTACATTCCTCATAATCTTTCTTCGAAAACTTACTCTTTCTCTGAAATAAATTCCTGTTAATTGACACTTTCCATCATGAGTGAGTAATTGGTACCAATAAGATATTCGTTTTCCATTGAACAAATGGAATCTTTTTGAGTGACTTGAACTATCAATTTGATTTAGACTTCAAACTACGCGAAATTTTGTTATTCCTCCTTATGTATGTGGGTCATTTTCACCATTAACTAAAATATTTAAAAGGACATAAATGTAAGGATCTTAAATTTTTTTTGACACTTTAAAAAAATTACTTGAATAACTTTCACTAATCTAGGCCCAATTATGATTTTTGTAATTAGTAAATAATTTTATTTTCAAAAATAATTTCAAGTTAAGCATTTTAGTTTTTTTTTTTTACATTTAAAATTATTTTTGAAAAAAAAATTAATAGTTGTAAAAAATTACCTAAATAGCTTTCACTTATCTAGGCCCAATTCCCTTTTTTCAATTATTAAATAATTTTTTTTCAAAAATAATTATTTCGAGTTAGTGATCAAAATTTTAATCATCAAACATAAAGAAAAAAAATTTACCTAAAAAATAATAATTTAAGATTGAAATGGTTCAAATTGATAATTCAAATCTTATGTTATCCCAACTTGAATAGTTTAAGGATAAAATATGTTATTTGACGATTTTTAAGCTTGCGAGAGGAAGGACGGAGAAAGGCAAGCAAAAAAGAGAAATTTTATAATACTCGATGAGTAACTAGTAGTATGTACAATAGTTACTCTATAGATCTACTTGGAGGAGAAAGATAGACAAATAAATATAAAGTTACATCCGGATTCACCAAAAGTAATAAGAAGATTTTCACGTTCATTTAATTTTTTTTAATTTTCTCTCTTTTTTTCTCTCTTTTTTTTTTTTGTATCTATCTCTCTCCTCTAAGTAGATTTATGAAGTAAGTACTATACATATCATTAATTACTCCTTGATTATTATAAAATTTCTCGGCAAAAAAAGGCAAATAGAAGTGAAGTTTTTAGAAAGAAAGAAATTTGATCTCTTAACAAGAGAATTTATCCAAAACCCAATATTGACTTTCTTAATCGTTAGCCAATCTTTGAGATCATATATTCTCCAAGTCAATGAAATCACACGTGCCAAAGCCACTTGCTTGACGGCCCAATTCCTCTAATTTCTTCGGTTGTCAACTAAATTCCTAGCCATTAAATTAAGAACCTTCGAGAAATACTCGGTTCTTTAAAGTTAATAGTTATGTTGAATAAAAAATCAAGAGATCAACCTCTTACTATTCAGTAATAGAAAAAGAGAGAATGTAAACGAAAAGAATCAAGAAAATTAAGGAGTGAGGTGAGAGTCCTTAATTGTTGCTACCATTTCTCGTCATTACAATAAAATAAGGATATATAGGCGGAATGATTGAGGTAGTTTTGTAAACCGACTCAAAGTCTTTTAGCATTTGCATTGATATGTTACTTTTATAGAACAAATTTGAGGTAGATTGCAAAATCGCCCCAAGTTTTAAGGAGAGGTGCGAATTTTATTTTATAATGTATTTTTTTTTATTTTTTATTTTTAATTTGGTTCTTAAAGAGAGAAGGGCATTTCATTTTTCCTCTCCTTAAGGTTTTCCAGACTTCTCTTCCTTTGCTTATTCTCCTTGATTTGTTGCTTCCTTCTTCTTTTTTGGTTCTTCATTTTTATTTTTTTTGGTTACGAAACGGACAAGATCATACAGTTTATTATCAAGAGCTTTCCTTCTTCACCTCAACTTCTTCTCCTTTGCTTCTTCTTTCTTCTTCTTCTTCTTCTTCTTCTTCTTATTATTATTATTATTATTATTATTATTATTATTATTTGGTTCTGAAAGGAATAAGAATGCTACATTATCCCTTTCCTCTTAGGCTTTTTCTCCTCTCGCTTCTTCATTCTTCTCCTCTCGTTTCGTCCTTCTCTCCTTCTTGTTAGAAACTAAATTATAACTATCCTCTAAATCAATTGGATATTCATTGTTGATTTTCTCATTGATATCTCTAATGGTAAACATGCTAAATGAATTTTATAGCCAATCAATTAGCTTACCTACTCTTTTCTTTTCTAATTACCTTTAAATTTTCAATCTAATATGCTAATTGTCTTGTTCTTATTTTGTAACTTTGAAGTTTTCAAATTCTTATTTGACTTATTGTGTCATGGCTGCATAATCTAGTTGTTGAAAGTGAGAAACATATGTATCAAGTAACATGTTTAAGTACTTCGGTTCCAAACATAGTTGCATCATGTTTATCCACTATTGATCAACATAACATAATATAGATCTCTTGTCATTCTAAGCTCTATATCGGGACATCTTTTATTGAATCTGGACATCTTTTAGAAATTTATTAGTATAGGGTGTTATGGACAATAAGCTCTGCATTAGGACATCTTCTTCAATAGAATTCGAGGTGTAGCCCCTTACATTAGTGAGGCCTACTAGCAAAAAAGAGAGAGTCGGTTGTAGAAAGAAAACTAAAACAAGTTTTGAAGTTGTCCTTTAGGTTGAGATGGTTTGGAACATTATTTTCTTAAAGTTCATCTCTAGGTTGGCTATAATGACTCATTGTTTAATTTGATTGTCTGGCAAAAGGTAAGGAAAACAAAGAAACTTGAATTTGGAATTAGATTTACATCATTGAGGGCCCTGAAAGGGAAAACCCACCTCTTCTACTTAGATAAGTAGGACTCGTTAACAAATAAACTATGTGATGGCCAGGGAAGTTATATACTAGTGAAATGTAAAGATCAACCTAGATCCTTCTCTCTACTTGTGACATTGGTAGCTAGTAAGTATCCATCAATAACGAGGTGAAAAAGATACCTAAATATTAACCCACGACCACTTAGAGAAAAAGATCTAAATATGCTTGGAAAATTTTCTTTTTCTTTCCCATCTCATTCATGCATTAGTTCATTTCTAATAGAGTCATAGATATATGTATTGAGAAAGGTAGTGATCTGTTGTTTACATTTCTAAAAGTCTAAAATAGTATTTTTATTAACGGATCCGGTAATTTGATTGCTAATATACTTTTGGTACCAATTTAACATTGAACATATTTGCTTCATCAAGAAATATTATTGCATCTAGATTTACTAGTATGGTTCAAAAAAACACTATCAATACCCCTAGTCATATGATTCCCAAGAAAATCTAAGAACGAGAGAAACAAAAAAGGATCTATAATGGTGTCATTCACAACCATCCCATTAAGAAAAGGCATAGCTCAAGTAACTAAAATAACCGTTATTGTTATTTTGCTATTAAATGTGTTAAACATGTTCAAATAAGAAAATGAAGATTCATTTGAATTGGTTTATATTCAATCGGATTCGAGTCTTTCTTCATTTTCTTCACAATTTCTTAGCTACCAAACAAAATAGATTAGTAGAATCACACATATCTCACAAACCCAAAAAAATAGAAACCATACAATTAAACATCTATCCCTATGTGCAATAACTTGGCAAAATCCAAGAATTAGTACTCTTCTCTCTCATAATTTCATTTTTCTTGAAAACTAAACAAACCCTTCTAGCTGAAAATCATAGTACTAGGTAGCCCTTATAGAGAGAATATAATTTTTTAATAGTCAAAAGTCATAATGGCTAAGACAATATAATCCAAGCGTCCGTTTTGTTTACGGAATGGTATTTTTTAAATGAAACCTAGGCACTCTTCTTTTTGGAAACAAAAACCTACTAGAGTAGGATATGCCTTTTGAAGTTGAAACACATGAACCGAGGATCCGCTAGTAGTTTGCTACTCTTATTAATTATTATTATGTATAAATTGTATGTTGAATGATAGCTACTCCTATGGCCTTCTTGTTATTTTTTGGTAAGATCGATGACATTTAGAGTGGGTTGTTGATCGGCTTAGCATTCTACTTCAAAGACTTGTATACATAATAGATAGGCCTAAAACTATAATGAGAATTTTTATTAGGATCGGAAGATTGACTTGAATCCTTCATTTTGTTTCATAGCCATTAGTATTTTAAACTTTTAGTAAGAAAACCTTTTCCCACTATACTAGAAATGTTGGTCTATTAATAAGTAGTATATCACATG